ATGATTAAGCATTTAAAAGTTTAAAAGTCACTGAATATATTATTGGTAATTCACATATATGTAAACTATATGGGTATTATAATTTCAGTCAGAAGTTTGTAACGCAGTGAAGGAGACCTTTCCGACCCTATAAAGTATATATATTCTTGATCAGCATTAACAGGGGAATCTTTCTAGATATGCCAGGAAGAAATCAATTTTTTTGCCATTTTTGAAAAATTTTATAAGGGGTTAGTTACATCATTAAAATTTTTGATTTTGATAAAAAATTGAATTTTCAAAATTTTTAAATGAAGTATGCACATTTATTAACTGTAGAAAATCTTGCACAGAACAGTTTTCCGATTTAAAATTAATGCTCTTTTGGCCGATTTATGATATTTTTAATTTAAAAAAATCAAGAAGTTTTTTAATATAAAAAATCAGATTTTATAATACAAAATAATATTTTTCTAAGTCAAGGAATCATTTCCGACCCCATAAACCATATATATTCTTGATCAGCATCAACAGGGGAATCTTTCTAGACATGTCCGGAAGAAATCGATTTTTTGGCCATTTTTGAGAAATTTGATAAGGGGTTACATCATTAAAATTAGCAAAAATGACCAAAAATTTTGATTTCTTAAAATTTTCAATTTGGTATGCAGTTTTTTTAAATTAATAAAAACTAACACAAAACTGCTTTCCGAATCGAAATTAATGCATTTTTGGCTTAGTTATGATATATTTTAATTGTTACCTGCAATACAAACTTTGGCTGGCCTTAGTTAGCTTTCTTTTCTGTTGTACCTAATTTCCACACCAATAATATTGCTTGTAAACCCATTAAACCCTTTCGTTTATCTAACTTCTTAGATAGTAAAAATCTCAGTTAGTTCCTGGCTCCGTGTTATGTTTCTTTTTATGGTCAAAACCCCAGGTGTCTTGAGTTTTTCTTCAAATGGAAATCACTTTCCCCCGGGCCAGCGTAAACTTCAAATGGCTTTTTCTTCATCCTGACACTTTTATTTGCTCACTTTCTCCTTTTGCTGCTGCTGCTGCTCCTGCGGCGACACATTTAGCACATCAGCCGTCAGGTTTCTGGAACCACATCCACCCGCATCAATTGCCGCAATTTGCCAATGAATGGACACTTCCCAACTTCATACCAATTCCATTGCCTTGGGGCGAAACTTTCTGACCGCAACCCTTTTTTCCTCCACAAACATGCCATGTCCTTTGGCCAGTGTGTCCGGGTGTCCTTTTGTCCCAAGTCCGTCACTTTTGTACACCGTTGGGTGTTTATCCAGGGGGTTTCGGTGCGCCAATCAAGCGCAAAACCGTTTTTGACATGTCCGGGACGGACACACACGAGTATCGAATGGCCAACCAGGAGGAGGACCAACCAGGAGATGGCATTGGGGAGTCAGGCAGTGGTTAGCTGCCTGGCCGCACGGACAATGACAATTCAATTACAGAAATGGAAATAGCGGCTGGCATAAAAATCAAATAAAAGCTTCATAAAGTGCTCCGGATGAGCAAATAAAATCAGTGGGCAATGTCAGGCTGGGTTTTTTTGGTTATGGGAGATGGGCGATTGGGAGTCAAGAGGAGGTGCTTCCGCCAGGAGTTTGGTTTTTGATTAAGTTTCAGGAATACACGGGAAGATATTTATATAAAGTTATTACCAGTTGGTTTAGGAAAATAGAGGAAAATTAAAGGTAAGCCTTATCTATGTAGAAAGTCTTAGTGAAGTAAGTGTATGCTAAGTTTATTTAATTTCGTAATATATCTGCTTATAAAATATCTAAATTGTTATTATTTTTATTTAGTATTTAAAATATAATAATAATATAATATATAATTTAAGACCTTTCGCTCTGTGCAAAATCGAATAGCATTTATTTTGGGGGTCCTTCTATGGCCTTACCCCTGAGCCTTTGCGGTCATTTGGCAATTGGCGCCATACGCACGCTCCCTTCCTCCATTCTTTCTCCTCTCCTAAGGGGGACAGCGGCAGAATCGTAAAGTTCCCACGCGTTGGGAGTTGGAATCTGCCCCCCAGGAAGCGGAAGTGAAAATCGAAATGAATTCGATAACCACCCGCCTGACCCTTTTCCGGCTCAATGTCTGCGGTTGCTGCGGTGACTCACCTGGACACCTAATGCTCGGGAAAACTTGAAACTCTCACCTGCTCTGTCAGGTTGACACTCTTAAAGTCGTGGAACAAATTGGAAACGTAGTTTAAGGGGCGGAGGACTGTCGGCTATTGAAAATTCATAGCCAAAAATTTATTCATGGCCTGCCCCACAGACTCTCAAGGCATTAATATTTAAGGAGCGTCGTTCTCGGCCGGCCTGTGCCTTTGGACTTTCCCGAGATCCTGGCCTGCTTGGGGTCACGAGTTCCCAGTTTTTTTTGGCGGGGCTGTCGCAAAGTTTGTGTTGCTGGCCCTCATCCTGTACCTGTTTCCGTGGCTGTTGCTGCGGCTGTCAGTAACAACGTCTCGAGGACATGAGGGCAGCATTTTTTATGGACCAAAAGTTGGCCATGCCTAAGGATACAGTGGGTGAAAATTGCATTGTAATTGAAAACCTTAATTTTAAAAGGAAGCTTGGAAATTTCTCTCAAGAGTAAATTACTGTAATATTTCTAAAAATTCCCTGAATTCCCTGTTCTGATATCTAACTAAATTTTAAAAATATTTAAGATATCTTTCTGTAACTTTTTATATTTTAAAAATATTGTACATTGCTTCTTAAAACTTGTACAACTTTTTCAATATTTTTTTAACCAAGGTCCTTGGTTTTCTTGCTATATCTTCCACCCCTCAGCAAGGGCCAACCCTCAGTACCCTCAGTACCTGACCGTAGTTGTTGTCTTTGCCCAATTTGTAACCCTTTAAACCGTCTGACACGCGTATAATGTGACAGAATGTTCCAAACTACACATTAATTTTTGATCAAATGGCTTTCGACTGCTTCAGGGTCCAGGACTCTGCCTGAATCCTTGCCAGCATCCTTGAACAACTCACAGTTCGAACTTGGAGAAATGGAGAAGGAGCCGCCTGTCAAATGTCATTCGGTTTTCAGCCAAATGAAGTTAAGTTATCAAGTTGGTTCAGCGGTTAGCCGGCAAAAGCTGGAAATTAATGAAATTTTTTTATATTTCGGCCAGGACCGGCGGCGATTGGCCGAGGCCCACAACACACAAAAATTCATTTATTTTCATTTATTGTTTCACATTTCCCCGAGGACAGCGAGACGTTGCAATTACCGCAGAAAAGAGAAAGAAAACTCACCAAAAAAAAAAAGGGCGGCTTCTGTCGCCGAGAAAAAGTTTGAAAAATATATGTATATACATTTTTTTTTCTTCTTGCTGGATTTTTATTTTATTTACTTTTTACTGGCCGGGCGTGTTCATAATTCCGCTGACTTGTCCCGTGTCCTGTGGAGTAATTTTTACTGCAGGACAAGCGCAAATACATAATTGAATAACCCAAGGAGAGGAAAGGAAAGGGTGAATCGCGGACCAGAAAAGTTTTAATTCAATTCCTTGTGCGTTGTTAACTCGAGACATCGTCGTCCTGCTGAAGTTGATTAATTTCGCATTTTTACGCTTGATTATACGAGAGACCCAAAGAAGTTCTCCTGCGTTACTATCCTTGTGCGTGTTACTTCAGGACTTTTCTTGGGAGTTTTTCCAGCTTTTTTCGCCTTGAATTTTTCAAGGCACACACACATACAAAGGAACTGCAGAGGATGGAATCTTTTTCGTGGCTGTGGCAAAAATATGGCGTTGAATCCTTTGGGAAATTTCGATATCACACTTTGTTCAGCGTTCTCGTCATGCCCGCAAGTTCATTACACATTCGCCGGAGTCGAAATGAGCAAAAGTAATGGGAAATGCACTGGCCTGGTGGGTAGGGGGTTTTGGGTGGGGTTTTGGGGGTTGGAATGGGATGCCAGCAGGTTGATTAACCAGACTTAGAGACACAACCCCCGGAAAGAAATGTGTGGCTGGATGTGTGTGCCATAAAAATCTCAATTATTATCTCTGCCATTACTTCGCCTCTGATTTGTGGAGTCGAGTGGAAAGTATCTGACAGTTTGCCATGATTGCGGATAGATGATTTCGATTTTCCATCTGCTAATTATGAGTGATCAATTATTTATTATAATATTTATGAAGGAAGAGAAGTCAAAAATATTTAAGGCAATCATTAATTGCGTTTTGATTGGTGGAAAACAAAGTTTTTCGATTATTTATAGATGGTTTTTAACTGGCAATTCATTTTCTACTTTCTTTATATTATTATTTGTTAAATATCTGAAGTAAGAAGTTTAAATAAATGGTAAAATATACTTACTTATACGTTTTTAATATATTTTAAACAAATATTAAATTTTATTTCCCTGTTTACACGATTTTAATGCATTCTCCCATAGTCAAAGAACATTTTAAAGATCGTTTTCTGTCTGGAGAAAGCTCTGCAGAATTGGCAAAGAAAGCTGCCTGTCTGAAGAAAAGAATAGAAGAATCTACACCACAAAGGGAGCCTAAGACTATGAGAAGACAAAAGGCAAACGACACTTGGAAAGACTTGACAATATTCGCAAGAAAGCCATGGAAAGGGGAAAGCCATAAATCAAAAGTATCTGCGTATCTTCAGATCTGCGTATCTACGTATCTGTGTATCTCAGAGCCCAGTATCTATTGTCGAATGCGCCGTATGTAAATGCCAGCCAATAGTTATAACTCTATATATATATACATAATCATAGATGTAGCTAATTATAAGCAACACCCCAGTCGATGGGGATTTGCATATGACAAGGCCGGTTAACAGCTACAAAACAGTTAACCCAACTTCGGAGATGGAGTCACAGATGAAGATAGCTTTGGCCATGTAATTACCAGGTGTCGGAGTGGTGGCGAAAAAACCCACCAATTATGGGCGTAAATTCTCAAAGCGATGACTCAAAGGCGGACTCGAACTCGAACTCGAGAGTCTGGGCTAAATTTAGACATAGGTTTATTGCGGCCATTAGCGTTTATAATTCATAATTTATAATTACTTCTACGATTAGGTTTTAGCGTTGACTACGATTAGGGGAGATTAGTGGAGGATCACCGGGCACCGACCAACTCGTAGCGCTGATCCCTGCCAATGGGCTCCGCCTTGCTCTTCACCAGATACTTGGAGAACTCGGCCGGCGAGCGGAAGGCCTTGACGGGGAACTTGCCAAACCGACCGTTGGTCCTCGACAGCACATAGTATATGGGATAGGGGCCCGGCGTCATCTGGACGGGCACAGACCGGGACTCGGCCTGGTTCCCATCCAGAGACAGACGAACCTGCACTCCATCGCCCTTAGCGTCCAAGTTGAGCTGCTTCTGCTGCTTGAGTTTCTGCTTGGGAAAGGCTTTTAGTTCGTATTTCAAGGCTCGCTGCGTCGCATCTTCACCACTGGCGGCCGCCATCTGCTCCTCCGCCTTCACAGCGGGCCGGGGGCGACGCTTGCGCATCTGTTTCGAGTCCAAATACTGACGATGACCACTGTCGGATGCTGCTGCTGCTGCTGGCAAGGATCCAGTTCCGAAACTACTGCCTGGCCTTAGGGTCTGGATCTGGAAGAAGGCCGAATTCATTTGGCTGCCAGTGCTGTCCTTTTTGGGTGGCAAATCCTGCGGATGGACACGGATCACCTTCTGCGTTTGATTGGCTATGCTGATCACATCTTCTTCTATATCTGAAGACTCCTCCAGGGCCAAGGAAGCCACGAGCAGGGATGCCAAGAAGATGCTGAAGAGCTGAAAGAAGGGTTGTAAGGGTCTCAAGGCTTTAGGAAATATGTTTTTAAATCTAAACAAATGTTGAAGGATCTCAAGGCTTTAGGAAAGATGTTTTTAAATCTAAACAAATGTATTTAGATATTCCCAAAGTGTAGATTGATTTTTTCTAGAGGTTTCCTAGGTCATCCACCAGCTATAACTTTATTCCCATTCACTGTGGGCGATCAATCACAATTACCATAATCCGTTGATGGCCGAACATCGTGTAAGATCAGCTAAGATTGCTCGGTTAAGGTGATGAAGCTATTTCTATTGAGGCTTCTGTGGGATTCCGCAACTGTGCGACTTGTGTTGGATGCTGCCGTCTGACGACTGAAAACCCAGCTGGAACCCAGCGATCGCTATAAGCTTTTAGAGCTGTTGGAGTCTCCGATCCCACCTGTGCCCCCCTCCGTTTATAATGAAGTGTTTGGCGGAGAGAGAAGCCAGAACAAATAATGAGCCAAAAATTGGTTAGTTTTGTTGCGTCTTTTGTCATCTGTCTGTGGGTACCCCTTTCCCCGGATCTGGAACGGCACAGTGGGTCAGGGTATGGTGGAAATTTGGTAGTTAATAAATCAATTTAGTGTTTATTTAGCGATAAGCTATGGCTGATTACCTCATTGATTAATTTGTTTACGAGCGGGACTCCTCCTCATCGATTGACGTTGGCTGATTGTGATTGTTTTGTGCATTGTTTGGGATTTTTGTAATATTTTTAACTGAGTTTTTCATCAGAAATTTACTAAGCTTTAAGAAGGGTATAATGATTGTGAAGAGGAGTGAGCTATGTCAGGAAATTCTTTGACTGAAGCTCACAGACAAATAGCTTTTTAACTACTGCTAATGGCTTTATTTTTCTTTCAACTCAGAACAATTATGACAATAATAAATGTGAATTCTATTTAAAAAAAAGTCATAACAAAAAACAAATAAACATAAACGAGATATTTTAAAGCTATTTCTTAAGGTAAACAATAATCCAAACAAGGCATACATTGGTGAAAAAAACTATGACTCATTTTTATATATTTTGTATATATTTTTTTAATTAAATAATATAAATCTAATTTTGAAATTAAATTTACAAGTTTATTAAAGGCTTGGTCTGTGTTTATTGTTATTAACTATATAGAAAAATAAATGAAATATATAAAACAAACAAAAATATACATTTTCTATAATATTTTTTATTTATTTTAATATAATTAAAACAATTACACATGTTTTATCATTAAGAAAAGAGTATTTGATATATACAAATCTGCTTAATATATTTTATCATTCAATCATTAAGCGTGCATCACTAATTATTGTAATGAAATTATTTATGATAATTGTCAAAGTCTCAGACACTGCACATTGTTGGCCATTCGGCGTGTGCACAAACAAATCGCAAATAATAAAAATAAATTTAAGTTTGCTAGACGCCGACAAGGTACAATGGGATAATTTCTAATAAGCTTATAATTTTATATATGAGAGAATATAAAAAAAGGGTAATATTTAATAAAAATATTACATAAATATATTATAAAAATAAAAGAAAAGAAAGATTAATAACATATAAGTTCTTAACATTTAATTAAAAGTAATCTAAATTAGTCCACGGTTAAAGTAAAGTTATTTTCTTAACTTAATGAATGAACAAGTGTTTTTTTCTTATATAATTTTAGTGCCTATAAAAAGTGTTAGTGAGTTAATTATATATTTATATGGAAAAACCATATTACTTATAGTTTTTCAACGGGTTTTGCGTCTTAACTATACGAATAATTTTAGGTAAATAACAAATTACACTTCTTTTCTATAGGAAATACTGTTAATAAAATAGTAAATTAATAAAAACATGATATATACTACCAATAAATGAATAATAATTTAAATATAATACAAATTCAAGTAAAAGGTTTTCATATTTTATTTTATTTATAATATCAATAAATAAACCCTGAAATGACTGCTTATAAGCTTAACTCAGATTAAATATTATTTAAAATACTATATCTAATTAAGTACTTTCCTTGAACTTACCGATTTATTCCTCAATTAACTGACTACTTCCCATAGTCCATCAAAGCTTAGACAATTATAATTCAATTGTATTCAGATGGAAGATATAGAAGTCATGAAGCTGATGACGATGACTCAATGTGGTTCTGTTCCTAGTTGGGGTTTCTGGTATTTGGTTCGAACAAGCAACTTGACACGAGATGGGAGATTCAATCCGACAGTAGGGGAAATAGTGCTCAATGGAATTAGAGATCTTGAAATAAAGGCCCCGAACAAGGTTAACATTTGTTGCGGATTATAATCTTTTAATTGAAGTTGTGAGCACACAAAAAATGAAGTGCCAGAAGAGAATCTGGTTTAAATTGATTTTGAAAAAACTAAGACAAGTTAATAACTCGCTTGATTATGTCACCTGTATTTGGCGACTAACTCATTAGTTATGCCCAACGAAATGGGTTTAATGGGAATTCATTGACCCAGTCAGCAGCGATTCGATGCGATTGAATAACTCCATCGATCAGGCCAAGAACAAATCATCGATGACGCTGATGATGATTATGCTAATGATGTTTTGCGGCTAAAGGGGTCAGCGATTTTTATGGCCAAAAAAATGGGAGATCTGCTTGCTATATATATATATAGATTGCCATCGTAAAAATTCACTTTGCTAGCCATAGTAGAGATGACAAAAAACCATTTATAGCTTTTGGAACATCAGAGAAAAATCGGAAAGCCACTCTGCCAGACGGTAATAAAATGCCAGGATGCCAGCAAGCCAGGACCAAGACAATGGATTGTATAGATTCGTATAGAATGGTATAGATTCCCATTCCCTTTCTCCCATCCTCCATCAATGTCTCGCGCCATCGATTGTTATTCAAAGCAGCCATAATCTGTGCCAAGACATCGTCGCATCGAGACAAAGTGAATTGTTAGAAGGGAGAAAGCCCAGGGAAAGGGTTTGTGTTCGTGGGGGCTTTTTGGCTTTTTAGTTTGCCAAGTGTTCGGGGAATTGAGTTGTAACTCAACAGGTTTTAGCTTTTAAGTCTCTCACTCCTTGGCTAGGCTAATGGATTATTTAAAGTGTCCTTAAAGTTGCAAGAAAAATGTATATATACAAAATGGGTATCATGTGTGTGTGTGGTTGCCCAGAGGCTGTCCTTGTAATTAGATTGCAAAAAGGGACCTGGGTCATATATCTGCTGGCCACCAAGTAACCCTTGCCCACACCCAGAGGCTAATGGACAGCAAATCCGTGGACATTTGTTACCAAAGTTTGTCCTTTTTTTTTGTGGGTTTTGTGTTTTTGCGGTCAGCACATAAATTACCTATTAGCTATAGGGATCACATATAATTTACGAGTGGCCCAAGCTTCGCCTTAATTATGTTACACAGGTGATAGCTAAAGCTCTGAAAAAATAAATAAATATAAAGAGAAGGGTAGATAAACCTAGCCCCTGGTTATATCCTTTTTGAAAAATTTTTGTGCTGACTCAAATAGTTGACTTCGGGGGTTGGAAATTATCACACACTCTTCTTGGTAGATGATTCTGGCTTTTATTACATGACAATTACCACAATCAGGGGAGCATATGGAAGCCACATTCACACCGCAGCATGGCTTGTCGTAAAAAAGAATGGCCGAAAGTGGCACTTGGCCAGGCCAATAATCGTTCCTGTCGAAAGTTGCAGTTGAAGTGAGCGTTAGAGTTGGGGTTTTCCCTGGCAGACATTACAAACCCGAAATGGTTATGTCTCCGTCGAGTTATCAGCTTGCAAATAGCAACTAGAAATGCCATTTCGCTGGCTAAACAAATGTCAAAGCAGGCATAACAGTTAAGGAAAGATTTTGGCTGAGGTAGAGGAAGTTTTCTTGGGAGTTTCTTGAGGGAAAATAAGAATGGGAATCAAGCTGATTAAACTGGTTATTATTTAGGAAGGGAGGGTTTAAAAATGGGTTATAGGAATTGATGTTATAGGAGTTATAGGAGTTGATCCAAAATTTAAATAATTTTTTTTTTATTGAAAGACTTTACTATTCGTAATGAAATGGTAATATTTTTTTGCATTTTGTGACTAAATTCTTTGAAAAATCATTAATACATACATTTTCACTACTTTAAAATTTAAAACTTAAATTAAATATGAAGAAGAATAGTTTTTCTCTTTAAAAATTAAACAACTTAATAGGAAATTAATGAAATTCCTTATTCCTGCCAGGTCTTCATTAATTTGTGTACCTCTGCTTTTCTGGGAGAATATATAAATTTAAGGTCCTGAAACTCGAGTAAATATTTGCCTTGGAATCATCATAAATTCGTTGCGAAAAACGCTTTTGTTAGCCATTAAAATATTTAACGGATTGCCGCTGATGGACTGGGCGGTGGCCACCAGCCCAACTTCCCCAGGACATGGCCAGGCAGCGGAAAATGTTGGGGGGGGGGAAAGGCCAAAGGATAGAGGGAAGGATATCAGGCAGCATGTACATAATCTCCACGTGCACCTAAATCCCGACAAGGTGCCCGCCAATGCCACGATGACTCCGCCCTGAAACGTTTGGGGTTCCAACTTGGAAGTTAGACGCAGTCCTTTACTGCGCAGCTGCAGGACTTTCGCCTCGTCCAGTTGGTGCAAATCGTTTGGGAGGAGGCAGCTGGCCTCCGGGGGTGGGAGTGGGAGGTCCTTGGAGCCGCATTCAAGACTGTTCCGATTCCAAAATGTTTCCAAATCCGACTCCAAGTCCCGAGAACAGCAGCTAAAAGGAGGAGCGGGAGTCAGTGGACTCTTCTGTGATTTTAAAGAAAATGAAGAATATACTATAATTTCCCTGGCAGATTTAAAATCCTTGGTTTATAGGCTGCCTTTCACTGACAGATACGTAGGTAATCCTGGCCAGGCATCACGTCCTGTGTTTCTCCCTCACGCAGCGCCAATTAACGCTAATGCAGGACTCATAATTTCACGCCTTACGGTGAAACATTAACCCAAACTCCATGAAACTCAGGTGTGTGTGCGTGTGTGAGAGGTGAGTTTGCCATGCAAATGAACTGGCAAATGGAGCTTGTCAATATGGCAGATGTAAATGCAAATGTCCACCTACTTTTACACAAGAAGAAATTTAAAAAAAATATATATAAATTACTATAAAAATGTTTACGATGTTTTTTTCAGCTGTTGATGCTGATTTATAGGGTTGGAAATGACTCCTTCACTACGTACCCTTTTAAGGTTTTAAAAATTTCTGGTAAATTCTTTTTTTGTAGCAGTGTACCCATATGACCACCTCCTCCTCCCCCTCCCTCGTCGCAAGGGAGAACCCATAAAAAGCTGTGTGTCCACA